GGCTGCAGCAGTGTTTCCTTTATGACTACTAAATTTCAAGGAAAGAGGAGTTGAGGGGTGGGAGAAAGCCAAAGCCGGCTCCTCCTTCAGACAATGCTATCCCTTATCAGGGCAGACTGCTGTCTGGTTTCCTGTCTCGAGCTCTGGCATGACTGCTTAAGATGAGAGATGGGGTCTATAAGAAAAGGGACACATCAGACTTGAAAATAAGAATGCCAAAGACCATTACAACCCTTCTCTCCCACCCCACTGCAAGATGAATTTGGAGTATCTAGCAAAGTAGACAGCAACTGTCTTAGGACTTGAGGGACTGAAGCACTGCAGAAAGAATCCTAATTTCCAGAATATAATTCCTATGATCTAAAGAGTGAAGTTACTTGTATTGATTGTCCTATTTTTCTTAAATGTGGCCCGGAGGTGAAAAGTAAGCAATACCACCAAAGCAAACTGTTCATTTTAATGCAAAAATGTTGCTATTAAGAAGCTAGAGGGCAGAGGGAGAACAAAATAGGGTTGAGCTGGGAATGGTGATTTGTATGGTCATGAAACTCTTACTGCCATTTAGTTTTGTAATTATAGCGACTACCAGGCTGGTATAATTTTTCCCAGTTGTTCAGTTCAGCATTTAAACACTTGAAGAATTTTTTTTCTGATCAAATACATTAGACTATAATCATCTCTATTAACTACTTCCCTCTCCTCCTCCTCCCCAAAATAGGAGGAAAAAATGATTTGGGCTAAGCCAAATACTTTAGTCTACCAAATTTGGCTGGCTTCTTAACAACTTTGAAATTAAAACAAAAAACTTGCTTAATTTTGTATAATTAACATTTTAGTTTAAAGGCTTCTTGTCCTACAAGTCAACTTAATATTTCAAGTTCATGTTCCCCCAAAGGAAAAAGAATCTTACTGCGACTTTCAAAAACTCTTTTTTCAGTAACCTGCTAGTTTATTCTGGGAGCTCTCATCATATAGTTTATTTCCCTTTTATACATATAGAAAGAATGTGATGGGATGTGAAATTAAAACCAATTATCTACCATCAAATTTTGGAAGGGTAAGGCGTGGTCTGCTGCCTGAGCCAGGCTTGCAATTTATTCTACTGGAGAATATTGTAAGTGATCCTTTCAAATTTTCAAGAAAATCCAAAAACAAGTTTAAAAAGGAAACCTGTAGAAACTCTCTTTTCTAGCCATTGCTTTAAAACTTACTTTCTGAAGACCCAAATGAAAATTTGTTTGTTAAAGCAGATCTAACTCAGAAATTCATTAACTCACATGAATATTTAAAAAATGAGATTGTGGAAAAAGTTGCTTCTGTAACACAGTTAAAAGCCTTCTCCTCTTGTTTTCAAAATACAGGAATTTTTTTCCCAAGCTGTCATTAAATGAATTTATGTCCAGTTCTTTTGAGCTTTTTATTCTTAATCAGTGGGAATGAGATGTAGATTACAGTAAAACTGCTGTCCTTAGAAAAAGCGTCCTAACATTTTAATCTTTGCCTTTAAAAAGAAATAATCCTGGGATTTTCTAAATGCATCCTACATTCGGCTTCAGTGCTTTTTCTAAAGATGTTTTCTTTCAAGCATAAGCAAGACTTTCAAGTCAGCCCAGGCTGCCCTTCTGCCCCCATTCTCATCCTCCAGTCCACGCTCCGCTCCTGGGCTTTGAGTGTCAGTGTTAAATGTGAACAAGGGAGGCAGGAGGCCCAGATCTTGCAGTAATGCTACCACCTCTGAACTCTAATATGGAGATCGGGTCCAAAATTGTCAACTTGAAGTGAAAATGCCTATCCTCAAACATCCTACCCACCTCCAAAGAATGAAAATCAACAAGCTCCTTTGGATTTCTAGCCAATACGCACAGACGTTTTCCTAAAATTAGTGTGGCCAAGAAAAAATTTAATAAGGTAAAAGTATTTATCTGCCCATATAAACACTGGAGCAAAGGGTGCATGTAAAAAGGTTAACTGACTTCTCATTATGACATAACGCAGGCATCTTAGGCAACTGTAAGTGTGTAAAGACATGATAACTCCCTGGGTGGGGAGAGGGAGTTCAGGGGCAGGGACCATGGCCTGGTCTGGGCTACTGATCTACCAGAAAACAGCCTGAAACAGGAAAGAGCACACATATGCCACTTGGAATGTATGACGCAAACCCCAGCCTTGAAACAAAGAACAGGAAACAGCTCTGCTGGCTGTGCTGGAGAGAAAGCACAGAGAAACATTTAGCCAGCCCTCCCTGACCCTATATTCATGAGCAGCTGGAGTTTTTTAAGACAACAACAGGGGGGTGGAGGTGTTTGTTCTATGGGTGTGAATAATAACACTAGCTTTATACAGAGGACCTGCCCTATTTACAAATAGGAGCTTCCACATATAGTAAACATCCTAAGTGAACATGGGATTTTATCATATTCAAGCAGCAGAAACCTTCCTAATTACCGCCAGCCTCTCTCCTGATTTCTTTTGTCTCATTCTCCTCATCCCCGTGGCTGGTCTCTAGCTATGATCAAATTCTAGGTTAGGGTAAAGATTACTGCTGAACCTCAGAGCATGCATGAAGAAAGAGGCCAGAGCATTGCTAAGAACTCAGATGACAATTCGTTGATTCCACAAGACTCAAAATTGGACTGATTTTAAGTGACCCTTAGAGGACTAAATTCCAATGACAGAGTCTGAGACAGCTAAAGTCACCCCAATTTTTCAGTCTTTTTCAATTGCATAGTCAAAAACAACTCGCACAGTTGCACATCTGCTCTACAAAGTACCCACAGCAACAGAAATTCACCTTCTCGGAATCTAATTCTATTCCTGACATTCATTTTATCCCAAACTCCAAAATCTGTATAATAGAGTATCATTCTTTAATGAGCTACTCAATATCTATTTCTTTTAGGCATTTTTTAATGTAACAAATTCCATTCATAGTTCTTTTCCCATGATTTCTCTTTATTTTGCTAACTAGGACTGTTTAACCCAGCTATCCATTATCAGAGATTTAAGAAACTGTGTGTAGATATAACTACAGGTAAATAAATAAATAAAAACTAAGGAAAACCCTCAGCATCACTGTGTCCATAGCAACCAGAAGACTGGGTTTTAATTTAGAAACTTTGCAGTGAAAAGAAAAAAAAAAACAAAACAATTGCTTTCTCCAAAGCTATGTTTTATATCTGAGGTTGTCTCAGCAGATACTTTTCTTTGTTATTCTCAAATTAGGATTTTTATGCTTACATTCCCCTTGCAAGCCAAATGCTGCTTTTAGCACGTCTCCATTGAACTATCAATGGCACATTAGGTTTTCTTCTTCTAATAATGCTATGTCTAAAAGCCAACCCCACTGACTATACAGAAAAGGATCTATCTGTTCTCTAGGGAGTTTAAATTAATCAAACATCTCATTTCAAGTTTCTGTTAACAGCCTAAGGTCAACTAACATACTCCATGCTTCAAGCCAGTAGAAACTCATTTTTCCATTCCCTCTTTAAGAAAATACTGCTAACTTTTAAAATTTTGGAGATGTTAAAGCTATCAGACTGCTTTTCCCTAACAGCAAATCTTCAATCTGGTTAAGCACTATCACCCAGATGGATTTCTCTTACAAAAATGCTCCTCAAATGTAAAAGCACCAGGAAAAGGACAGTACAAAATTGTGGAAAAACCCATGATGAACAAATGCCCTATTCCCCACATGATTTTGCTTACAAATTACAGATACCAAAATCTCTGTGAACTCAGAATTCCATTTCATACTTCCCCCATGTACCAGACTCCTGTGATATGACGATTTGCGTGTCTTGGGCAATACTAATAGAAAGACACATTAGTTAAAAAAAAAATCAGTGTACAATGTTTATTTTAGTGAAACACAAAAGGTAATCAATTTCCAATTTCTGTTTAACCTAACTTACTAAATCACATCCATACGTTCTTCATCTAGTATTATTGCATACTACTTGCTATAAAATGTAAATCATAAAGAACGTTCTTCTGCTATCTGCCAAAAGGACAGATATGACAATTCCAGGCATTTTCTGCCATCTCCAGAGAAGGCCACTCTGAAATGTTAGGTAAGTCCCAAGGGTCCGGGTCCAGGGATCAGTCTCTTGGGTCCCCACCCGCGTTCTGGTCCCTAACGCTGCAGGCTGTTGCCTAAGGCGCTCTCCGCCTCCAGCCACGCTGCAATCCTTGTTCCAGGCACTGCGGCAGGTTCTCTCTGTGCCCCGGAGGACGCTCCAAACCTGGCCAGCTCTTTCCTCCTGCCCCCGAGGATCCAGACGCCCTGGCAGCTCCTGGGCTCCAGGACCGAGAATGGGATGTTGTCTCCAGTCCCAATTGCCCCAAGTTTCTTCCCAGAGGGCCCGGGAAGCTGCTCCAAGTTTGCTCCAACGGGCGAGCGGCCGCG